CCGGGCTGCAGAGAGGCAGCGCTGCCAGAGAGGGGCTGCGGTTAAGCAAATGCAGAGCTCAGGGAGCTAAAACACAGGAGCCGCGCGCTCCGCGGGGAGCTCCGGCACGCTCTGCCCTCACCGAGGTCCCCTCTCCGTCCCCAGGCAGCCGCGGCCCCGGCTGCTGCCGCCGCCTCCTTCCCCACGAGGGCAGCGGCAGCGCGGGGGGGGTCCGTGGGGGTCCGGCCCGGGTCGGGAGCCCGTCTGAGCGGGGAGGACGCGCGCCCGGGGCTGCGGGGACAACGCGGCTGCTTCTGCAGACGGGGCTCCAGCCAGGTCCTTCCTGCGTTCACGGGGCTCCAGCCAGGTCCTTCCTGCGTTCACGGGGCTCCAGCCAGGTCCTTCCTGCGTTCGGTATTTACACTAGCGGGAGAAGGGTTTTTACAGGGGGCTTCGCTGCTGCCCCAGAGGAAGTCGTTTTGTGCAGGTTGGTGATTTATTCCTGCTCGCTACATAGCACAACTTCTATAATCATTAAAAAAAACCCTGTCTATAAAAAACGTGTACCCGTTTCCTCTTCGGAACGGTGGGGATGGCAGAGCGGGCTTCGAGAGGGGAGCTGCTTGTAAAGAAGCCCAAGAGCCGCCGCCCGGCTGCCCCGAACGAGGCTCTCGCAGTGTCTGCGTTACCTTCAACGCGGCCGGTCAGGAAGTTGAGGCGAGAGCCTCGTTCCTCCCCAGCGCCCGGAGCCGCTTTCACTTCACATCAGCCGGGCCCTTGTGCAGCACGTTCTGCTCGGGGGCCTCCGAGACGAGGACGCGGAGCCTCCACGGGGCCGCGGGGAGAAACATCGGGACAGTTAGGGGGGAAAATGAGAGGAGCCGATAGGGAAGCCGACAGCTGCATTTCCTGGGAAAGAAGCTTGGGAAAAAAACAAAATACTGTCGCAGTTTGGGACTCTGCAAAATTCCCCATCATGCGCACAGGGGAGAGCATTCAGTGTGGAAAAAAAGAAGAAAAAAGAAACAGTTCAACTTAACCATTTCAGCTGCTTTTCAGGAAAAAGGGGGAAAAAAAGGCAGTGAAGAATAAGGGGCACATTATCCTTCCACAATGAGACATAAACCCCCTTTCCTTTAAAGGAAACTTCTAATCTGAAGTGAAAGGAGAAATATAATAATTGAGAAACCCTCAGAAGCTGTCTTGGAAATGGCCCTTGGAGAGGCCAACACGACGCCCATCCCAAACTCTCCTCCTCGCTCCACAGCACGGGGGAGAGACAGAACTGACCAGCCAGAAAGAAGACGGTTTTAAAAGATTTTTTTTAAAAAAAGAACTCTTAAGACTCCTCATGTAAAGATACAATATCCTCGAGCTCAGTGTTTTTAAATCAAAATGTTTGCCTCTGTTACAAATGCAACAGCTTCCCCAAATTTCAAGTACAAAAAAACAAAACAAACCATCCTGAGAAAGTGTTTGCCTTAGTTCTTTAAACACTGTACAGGATAACACTAAATTAAACCTGGTGACCCTGAAGAATTAAACAGCACTTTCATTCTCAGGAGAAGACAGAAGTTGGGTCCTTCACCATAAGTGATTTTTTTAGGTATTTCCAATTACAGATTTTCTGACTAGAAGTGAACTTCACTTTACCAGATTAGACCGTGAGGGGCTTCCAAGCGACATGATTCAGGCATCGAGTAGCTGACTAAAGACTAGAAAATTAATGTTTTTGAACACACAGCCACCCCGAGGCGACAGAACCAAGCGGCTCCCCAGCACCGTCCCTGGTGCTCGCGGCTTCTCACTGCTTTGCCGATTGCCTGCCCGGCTTCTTCTCCTGCTGGCCTCTTCCGCTGCCTGGAATCCCTCGGCCACGGCCGCCGAACACACCTAAGGGGCAAAAACAAACCCAAAAAAGAAGAAAAACAGGTGTAAGAATGTGTTTCCCAGCCACCCAGAGCTTTACCACCACGCTCTGCCCAAACGCAAAACTGTTTTTCCAGTTTTTGGCAGGATTTTTCGACTCTCCCCTTGCCAATTGCCAGCCCCACAGTTTATTCTCTAGGTGCCTAACGTATCTCTGCACATCAGCGGGTTCCATAAAGTTTCCCTGCTCACGTGCACCCTGCCAGCCAGGGTCAGAAATTTAGGTTTACCTAAATTTACCTAAATTAGGGTTACCATTTCGTCAGAAATTTAGGTTTACCGATTTTGAAGAACGTAACCCAGAAAGAGCTACTGGGTTCTTAATTGAGCCGAAGCACCTGGCAGCAGCGGGGTTAGCCCCTTGCACTGCGTCCCATGGAAGCTGTAAAACCAAACCAGAGAGGGTGACTCAGTCGCAAAAACTCAGCTGCAAACACCAAATCTATCCTGCTCTGTGCCCGCCTGGCTCTTGGGCAGAGCGATCCATCGGAGACGGTGCCGGACGCCACGACACGGCACCAATAACCGAGGGTGCAGCAGGGCTCTGTGGACATACGGGCATCCACCCACCTCCAGCGACTTCCAGTTTGCCTTGGGAGCTGCAACTCTCCCTCTCCCCTTTCTCCCAGCTGGGTAAGTTCACTGGGAATGGACAGGAGGAGGTCCTGGGCTGTCATTGCGAGGTTTATTTCAGCGCGTTGCTGATAAAGGGGCTGCAAAGCCGCCGCAGTGACCACAGCACAAGCAGCAGAGCCCAAAGGACGCCTGCTCCAGGCAGAAGACTTTGCTCTAGAGCCCTACGCTCTTCTTAAGCCCAGACCACAGGCCTAAACTACAAGGAAAAATACAAATAATAATAATAATAATAATAATGCTTCTAACCCTGCAGTCCCTGGGATGCTCTCAGAGCTCCGACTGCTCCCAGAGAAGCCGAGAAACGACCACAGCACTTTTGCTTCTTGGCTTGCCAAATTCAGAAGACGACGGATTACCAGTGTCAGAACAATAATCCTTTCAACTGTGCGCACAATTATAGCTCTACTTCTGCCTGCCGGCCTCCCAGCCAAATTGTCCTGCCTTTTTTTTTTTTCCCCTTCATGTCTCAGTAATGAGCGCCAAACCTTTTAGCTAATTAGCAAATGCCGAAGCTTCCCTTTAAAATATTCCATCAGCTCATTTAAGTTGCACATCAAAACAGCGGGGAACTCCGCCTCAAACAGGGCCCGGCGCTGCGTCCACAAGGTGGATATTTCCACAGCACCGGCAGCAGAGAAAACATCGCAGCTGCAACGTTTCTGCAAACAACCCTATCCAAAAGGCTGCTCCGCCAAGAGCCTTGGACACGAGAAGGGAAGGAGGGGAAAGAAAATAAAGGCGCCTTCAGATTTGTAAAGGTCACTTGTGCGTGTTCAGAGCGCTGAGACAGCACGGGCGGCAGAAACCACAGGGGTTTTTCCCTCTAGAAGTCCCAGGAGGTGGAAACGGGGCCTTCACGGGTCCCCATGCGATGGGACAGCCCCGGTGGGTCACTGCTGTCCTACCAGGAGTCCAGAGAGACGTCGCCCCTCGCTGGCTCAGGCCCCAGGGCTCCTTTTAGAGCTCAGTTTTTGGGGCTGAGCCCAGTTTGGTCGCAGCCCGGGATCTGGAGCTCCTACTGCAGGCAAATCCTGCATCAAGAGCAGCCCTGAGGCTGGCACAGGGGCCCAGGGAGCCGACCACAAAACGAATCTCAAGGCTGTGGCAGGAGGTACAAGCAGGAAAGAAGAGAAGTGGTTTTCAGGCTTCCTGGAGAACCGTTTTGGCAAAAAAAAGAGAGAAAAAAAAAAAGAGAGGGGACAGAAATACCCCCAAACTGAAGCACTCCAAGACAACC